GGTTAGCGCAGATAGCCCTCGTGTAGCTTTGCGCAAAATTCGAAACAAACAAACAAACTTATTGAGTGTTTGATAAGATAGTCATCAGTATAAGTATAAGGTGTTTCGTTCTACTGTAAACATAGTAGTTAATTGTGAGCTGGAAATGTATAATCATATCCTTCCTTACAAAATTATCAGAAAATGCAATACTTGTTGCTACTTTTTAGATGACATTCAGTTATGCAAGCACATGTTTACTTTACAACCATGCACATAAAGTGTGTAAAGACTTCTTCTTATCCTCACTCTTGTTTTTTATGCTTTTATGAATGTTCTTTTAGTTAGTTTGTGTGGTTGGTTGGAAGGAAGACCAAATCTTTTGCCATAAAACTAAACCTAATTATTAGAACATAATGTGCGTGTTCATCCTTTCTAATGATGAATTCTTTTTTTCTGTAGCCTTATTAAGTTGAACATTTTTCTTTTTTTGTTTCTTGTTACACATATGACACTTAAATTATCATTAATCACTACAGATTTCCTGTAATTTTTTAAGTGAATTTAGGGAAAGTCTTCAGGTGGTAACAAGAATTCCCTTTTAGTTCATTACCTTGGGAAGTTACTCGCATAAAGAAATTTATCCTACTTTCTCTCTCCTATATCTTTTTCAGCCTTAGCTTTTATGAAACTGTTTACCAAAATCCAGTTTTGGATAGAATATCACTTAAGCAACAATAGTAGTTTCCCATGGATGACTGTTTTCAATGAAACTCATGCTTTAAGGACAAATTTTAAAGATATGTTTGCTTCTTCATAATCACTTCTTTCTGCAAATTTTATAATTTACATTATAAGTGTATACATTAAAAGTGTATCCATTTAGACAGCAACTTTCACTGAGTACCTTAAGTTCAGTGGATCATTTTATTAAAAGCTCTATATAAATGTGTGTGTGTCCTCTGCTCCTCAAGCTGGACAGCAACTTTCACCAAGTACCTTGAAAGTTCAGTGGATCATTTTATTAAAATCTCTCTATAAATGTGTGTGTGTGTCCTCTGCTCCTCAAGTTGGACAGCAACTTTCACTGAGTACCTTAAGCTCAGTGGATCATTTTATTAAAAGCTCTATATAAATGTGTGTGTGTCCTCTGCTCCTCAAGCTGGACAGCAACTTTCACCGAGTACCTTAAGCTCAGTGGATCATTTTATTAAAAGCTCTATATAAATGTGTGTATGTGTCCTCTGCTCTTCAAGCTAGACAGCAAGTTTCACCGAGTACCTTGAAAGTTCAGTGGATCATTTTGTTAAAAGCTCTATATAAATGTGTGTGTGTGTCCTCTGCTCCTCAAGCTGGACAGCAACTTTCACCAAGTACCTTGAAAGTTCAGTGGATCATTTTATTAAAAGCTCTGTAAAAATGTGTGTGTCCTCTGCTCCTCAAGCTGATGAGACTAGTTCTGGAAAACAAAAATGTATGATGTTTTCTGTATTTCTCTTGTAGAATGTGTGTTGCAGGTTATGTAGCTATTCTGGATAGTTGGCATGAAATAATATCAGAGGTGTCTCGTACTTTGTTTGATTTGCCTCTCTCTTGTGGGACAAAAGAATTTAGGCAAGAAAAATATCTAGAGTTACAAAAGGCGTGTTGGTAATCCATAGATCCTTAGCATGCTCCACCTTAACCCTACCAGATGAAGAATCGACAAGTGGAATTTAGTAATGTTCAACAAAGAGTCTTTCTAGTTTGTATAGGACCTTTGGTAATCCAAATTTTTTATTTTTTATTCTTCCTGGTTTCAAAAAAAAAAAAGAAAAAGAAAATTGTGTGAGAAGCTCTTTGTATCATTCATTCATGCCTCTTGGTTTCAAGATGGAAAGTATCCTGTATTTTTGAGGATTTGTTCTTCGGGGTCACTTGTATATTGTTTCTTCAGTGTAATTTATCCAGGTACCAAGCAGTGTTTTTTCCTTCTTTAAATTCTGCGAACTTCCATTTGGCATCTACACAGCTCCATACAGGAATTAGAAAAAAAATAGTAGAAACATCTTACTTTTTACAGTTTTTTACTTTCCTCGTGGCTCAAGAGAAGTATACCTTATGTGAATAATTAATTTATGTAAATATATATCTGGTGACACATTCAGTGCTATATAAAAATTAATCATGCTGCTGCAGAATGGAGAAGACAATCATTCTGCAAGGTTTCCAAAGAGATTTAGTAGTTGGGATGCTGTTGATTGATACCTCTGTATCTGAGGCTTCTAAAACACCCAGGGTCTTGAGAAGAACAGTTTACTGAATGATGAATGAATAGCAAAGTCTCAACTACAAAGGGCAACAGTGATTGGAAGAGTATCATAAGTGATTGATATCATTAAGCATTATACATGATCACCTAACAATATAAGGGCCGCAGCAAGAAATGTGACTGCAGAAGTAAATTTGGCCAAACAAACCTGTATCAGTGAGAACATTTCCTTGAGAATTTCACAAGTTGAGATTTTATGACTTGACGACAACTCATAAACTACACCTCTTGTTATACAAATACCTTATTCAGTTGTGCAGTGGTCATAAGGCCCGGATATAGGAGAATTGTGTTATAGTAAGATGATAAATCATTCATTCATTTTACTCTCAAATATGTGTGTGTTTTTGTGTGATGACAGCCCAGGGTTACATTCAACTCTTACTGGGGATTGTTACGTATCAATTATTACCTATGATGTACTTTTATTCTCTTCATGAGAATGGGTAGTTTTATGATAATAAGAAATCCATCTACACCTTTCAAATCATTAAAGAATGGTTTTGTGGGATGTGAAATTACATCAGACATCTACTGTGGCCTGCCCAGCCCCATGGTATTAACATTATGAAGTCTTTGTGGCCCATTCTTGAAAGCATTAAATTTCCACTTCATTTTTTTTTTAGAACCAGCTGTTATTCAATTAATTGGTGCCTCTGTACCTGAGACCTCAAAGGTCATGTAGTTTCTAAGGTGAACAGTCTCCTGTATGGTAGGCAACTTGCAAAGCCCTCAGCCACAACATTATCATATATCTCGCATCTTCCATATTTGTCGGAAAGCATTATGGTAGGCCATCTCCTGTTACATAGTAGGATATTAAATCCAACTGAACTATTTGTTGTTGTAAATATTGCAGATATAAGAACTTACGAGTGAAAGTAAAGAAGAATGTATAACAATATGTCATCAAGTGCTGACAAGGCCTTTTTCCAGTACCAGAGATCATCCACCCAGCTGGGATACGACTTTCTCTCTCCCTCTCTAATATATATATATATATTACTTTAGCATTTGATATTATTTAATAGAAGACATTACTATTCCCATAATATATAACTCTAAACACACCACATTAGTTGTTAAAAGTGAGATGTGTTCATAATTGGGTTTTGTGTTAGCTTAAAATAGGGAAGAAGGTTCTTTGATAAATTTTTATAAAGGCAACAGTATACCATTCAGTCTTATTAACATAAATTGTACTGTGAGGTGTGATTTTTTTTTTTTAAGGTATTAATTTTTCCAAATAACTGTTAAGACTTTTTATGTAGCTTTTATTTCTTAAAGTAATTGAAATAGACTTTAAGCATTCTTATTAGTAAAATAATTTATAGTAACATACTTGACCTTAAACACTTTTTAACTTCAAATTTATCAAGCTTTTCTTGAATATTATTTATCACTTTTCCTCTACAGCTTATGGCTCAGAGTTATTCCTCTTCCCAAACTCATGGGAATCCTGCCCCTGTTGAGGATACATCAGATGTTCCCAAAGTGACAGAGTATCGCTCAAATTTTGCATGGCCTCGAGATTGTCCAGTGCTGCCTGGAACACACAGGGCTGTTTTTTATGGGTTGGACCAATCAGCTCCGAAGGCACTAGAAGGTACAACAATGTATTTAAAGTGAAGAATATACTTCTGTCTGGTTGCTAGTAGTGTGGCACTCATGATATATGTGAAACATTATAAAATTAAGAAAGTTAGTTTAAAGACACTAATTTCTCATTGGTCATTTATTTAAACAAATATTGAAGTGTTAAATTATTTTTTCTTAATTTTCTTATTTTTAATCTTGTTATTATTATTATTATAAAATTTCATTGAAATGATTGGATATGTAAGTTATTTTTTTTTAAACAGGATCCCTGGAAGTTACTCTTAGTTGTTTGTTGGCAGATATGTCTTTGATTGTATTTCTAAGACACTTTTTTTTTTACAGTTTATTTTTGAACAATGCATGTAATTCTTGTGAATTTTTGTTTTGGGTAAACAGTTTTTATTGTATTTTGCAGAAGGGTATTCATTCACTCTATATTGATGTAAGAGAGAGTATTAGTTAAAATTATACACAAACAAATTGACAACTCTTGACATGTCACCACTTTCTAACTTGCCCCTTGGACCATCGACAACAGCGTCAATGTCTATCTCATGGGCAGTGGAGCAGTGGGACCACATTTACATCACTTTTTGGTCATATGGAGTTCTTTCACCAGGGATCCATGGGTATTCCATGCTCTGAATTCAGGGTTGGTTATTCAATTTACATCACCTTCACCTTTATCTGCACAACCTGTTGCCTTGTCACCTCCACCATATTCTCGATGAATTAAGCATTGTTCCCAGCCTATAAGAGAGTTGTTAGTCAAGAGGGAGGTAGGAGAGAGTTGATCCAGTTCTTCTGGAATTTTATTATTCCCATTTATTTGTTGTACTCAAGAAGAATTGAGATTGATGTCAAATCATCAATCTGTCTGAACTCAACCAATTTTAGATCCTCCTTGATTTACTATGGAATCCTTTCTCAACCTACATTGGCACTTTGCACCAGGGCTCTGGATGACCAAGTTCAATGTTACTGACACTTATCTCCATATTACCATAGCAGAATCTTCCCGGAAGGTTTCTCAGATTTATGCATAAGGGTCAGGTTCTGCAGTTCAGGGCTCTACCTTTTGGTCTTGCATCAGCAGCTTATGTCTCCTGGCACCATCCCATCAAACAGCAGAACAATATTTTCTGATTCTTCTTTCAGAAGCCACAAAAGCAGGCTTCCTTATCAGACTGGAGAAATCTATTCTGTCACCAATGCAATATCTTGTCCATCTGGGTGTGTTTTTCTATACTCTTAAGACATGCTCAACCAACCCCTATCAGGCTTCAAACCATGGAAAGAGCCATCAAGCTTTTACTTATGTCTCCTTCTCCTATTGCACGGATGGTTCTCTCTCTATTGGTGATGTGGACATCCCTAGAGCCTTTCAATCCTATGGGATGAGCTCATTTTTCATCCCTTCAGTGATCATTGCATGATCAATGAATCATGCTTTCCGATCCTCTGGATCATCCTGTCTCATTCCTTAGGAGCAACATCGTCGCTTGCGAATGGTGGTTGGATAGTAACAACACTACTATTGGAGTACCCATTCCAATACCTCGTCTCGAGGTCTATCTGATCACAGACGCATCTCTTCAGGGATGGGGAACTTAACTTCAAGGTCAGGAGTTCCAGGATATTTGGAAAGAAGTTGAGTCTACCCTCCATATCAACATTCTCAAACTCCTTGCAGTACACTGGGCAATGATTCAAGGTATGTCTCACTTGAAGGGAAAAAATGTCATGTTGTATTCCAATAATTCCACAGTGGGAGCTAAGATTTTTCGTCAAGGAAGCACACATTCTCGAGACCTCGTTTTAGTACCTTGGATCTTCTCTACTGGGTTTATTCCTATTGTATCAGTCCTGTTCCAGGAGTGGTTAATTTAACTGCAGATCAGTTGTCTCCTTCCAACCGTATTCTTCCGACAGAATAGATGATGTATCACGAGGTTTTTCAGTGGATTTGCTCTCAGTTTTGGTGTCCAGTACCTCATCCTCAAGCATTGACAGTAGATGTGTTCAGTCAGGACTGGACAGGTTAACATCTGTATGCCTTTCCCCAGAATCGGCTATTGCCCTAATTCCTGAATATGGTTCACTCCACGCCCTATTGAGTTATCTTGGTTGTACCATATTGGCCATTTCAAACATGGTTTTTGCTTCTGTATTTGTAGATTTTCTCTTGATGCAAGATAATGTCCAGTTTTATTCTTACGGTCTCCTTAGATGTTTTAACCCACTGCATGATGAATGGGACAGGATTTCACATAACGTTATTCACTTACTAATAAAAAAAAATATGCTCCGTATGTGCAGAACCTGAAATGATGCTATGGGGGCCCATACTTTGTTATTGCTCATTGATTTTTGCCAAATGCATCTTTTTCAGACAATTTGATATCACTTTGAATTTTAGATGGCTCGTGTTCCATAGTTTGTGTTTAACTTAAGAAACTGAGTAGATGTATTCAGTGAATAAGTGGGGCTCCTGAAATATACCTTAGTTTCCACTGTATTGTTCATTTGGCTAAAGTTTGATTGAACTATAAGTGAACCCTACCTTTAATTTTTTGAACACCTCATCCAGTTAATTAAATAAAGTTCAGAAACAAAAGGAAGACAATAGACAACTGAATCTCATTATGTTTGATAAGACATGATCATTTGAATTTTAAAAAAAGATGAATTAACTTGACAAATTTGCCATTAGTCATCAACAAAAAGTAAAATTATCTTTATAGTTTATCCTTGCTGCTTGAAATATATTGGAAATAGAAACAACTCGTGTATTCTTGTAGCTTATAGAAAATATTAATATAAAAAATCTTTAAATTTTGGAAATGGAGATATTAATTGCTTATGAATTAGGGTGATGAAAACCTGAATATTTATTTTTATGAGCATAAGTTGGAAATTGTAACAAACTCCAGCTAAACATATAAATTGTTTGCTGAGAAAACTATTTTTGAGATACATATATGCATTAAGCTTATAATATTTATTAATTTGTTGACTGTGGGGTTAACTTTTAAATAAAAAAAATTTATTGCAGGGCTTTCAATTTAAAATCAGTTAAAGGGTAACATGTTAATTTTTTGGAAGTATCTAAAAGCAAAGGGATTTGGGGGACATGAAGGCCCCCAGTATGCCCAGAGTAACATCCTTGTGGGAGACCAGAGAAGAAATTCCATCCCAGAAGCTCCTTTAAGGTTTTATCCTCTCGCTATGGGCAGATCAAAGTATGCATGTCACAAATTTTTAGAGAATTACTTTCAAAATTTAATTAAACTACTTTATTATCATGATATAAGAATAAATGTGGCATGAAAACATAGTTGATAAATCATATTTTAATATTACATATGTTTTAAGTTCATAAGTTTATAAGGAAATATTTAAAACAGTCCTCAATCTCACCCTAGTATCAGAATTGTAACATTGTATATTATTTATAACCAATAGAAAGCCAAAGTTTTATTCTATCAAAACGTAATTACATTATGTTTTCTGTACAGGGAATTATATATATTTCCAACTTTATCACAGGGGAAACACATTGACGAGCTTAGCAGAATTTTTGATAGCACTTATAGTGTGGTTAGAAAGCCAGAAAAATGATGATAATTATCAGATATTGTCTAATTTTAGGTTATTATTCTGCATTTTTATGTACATTATTTAATTGAATAAAAAAATTATTTAGTGTAGTAGTAGTAGTAGTAGTAGTAGTGTATCATTAGTATAAAAAAAAAAAAGTAGGGTTAAGTTTCATTGACAGTCAACAGCAAAAAAAAGAAGATCCGCATAAGTATTATATTTCTTGTTTTTTATATGTATTCTTTATTTATTATTATAAAAGTAACTAAAATTTGAAATTCATTATGTTAGATTAGGTAACACAGAAAATAATAATGAAAAATTTCTATGTGGTATGCTTACAAGTAGCCCATGCCTTACGTATTTCGATAGGGTAACGTGAGCTACACATTCACCAAGTGATTTACAACTTATGTGGCAGGATTATTAGTCAAATACAGTTCGAGGAGCAACATAACAAACATTTTAATAGAATCAGGTGTATACTGTAATGAGATTTAAGCTATTTAGGATAAACAAATGTAGTTTCATGTTACAATTTAAAGTCATTCTAGATAGAAAAAAGGGTAATTTAGATTTATTTCATATGTTTTATGGTGGTTAGGAGGTCAAACAAATTGACCAACCTTGTATCGAGTTAAGGTAAAGAAAATAACAGATAAAATGTAAAGTTTTACAGAAAAAAATAACGTTTGAAATTTATTTAGGGTTTTTTAGAAATTATGCAAATAAAATTTGACAATTTTCAGATGAAGGAAAGTATTTTTAATCTTAACAAGAAAATCACTTTTTACTTGGAGCAATCAACACTTTGACTCCATATATTCAGATAATTTTTTAGGGAAAATGCTTCATTAAACATTTTTTTGCCTACAAAAGACTGGTAATAATTACTGAAAGCTTACAAAATTTTATGAAGATACACAAAACATATTAAAAGTTATAAGTATGGAAACAATAAAGGTCAATTTGGAGTCAAGAATTTGGGTGACTTGACTGAGCCCTTTGCTAGAGAGTTAAGATCAAAAATTGATGAGACAACACATTGCAGATAACTTGAAAAATATTAATACAAACATTTGAAAAATGAACTCGAATGTAGCCATTTTTATCTCCAAGGAGATCTATTTAATATTTGGTCATAATTTTTACTACAGAAATACATATAAATCTAATTAAATCCCTTAAATATTCATTATTTTCCTCCAGACTGTATAATCACCCTGTGAATGTAGTTTAAATCAAATGTCATAAAAAAAATTACATTCCCACATCAGTTTTATTTTGGAAGCATGTTATTGAAAGAACAAGACCACAACAGATTGGAGGCTCGTAATACTTCAGGGATATATGGATGTAATAAAAACATCAGCTGATTGTAGAACTTGATTAGTGATAGTTAGTAATAAATAATCAAAATGTATTTAACACTTCAGGGATCCTTGGATGTCATAAAACCCTAACAACATCAGTAATAGTTAGAAATAAATAATCAATGTATTTAACACTTAATGGATATGTGGATGTCATAAAACCCTAACATCAGTAATAGTTAGTAATAAATAATCAATGTATTTAATACTTCAGGGATCTATGGATGTCATTAAACCCTAATGACGTCAGTAATAGTTAGTAATAAATAATCAAAATGTATTTAATACTTCAAGGATTTATGGATGTCATTAAACCCTAACAACATCAGTAATAGTTAGTAATAAATAATCAAAATGTATTTAATACTTCAAGGATCTATGGATGTCATTAAACCTTAACGACACTAACTGATTGTAAAACTTGATTAGTAATAGTTAGTTATAAACAATCAAAATGTATTTAATATTTTTGTGGACTTTAGTACCTGATTCTTTTCATTTTAAAGGCTGGAATTTTTTTTAATTTTTGCCACTTATTTTAGCCATATTTGTACTAATCATCAAAATAACACAGGAATTAATAATTGCTCAAGGGAGTCTGATGTTGAAAATGCTGTGAATAAACTTTTGATACTTTTGCTTTTGTTTCTGATAAATTAAAATGCATTTTTACAAGGGATTTTAAGATTTTTTTTTCTGAGCTTTTTCATTAATAGCTGGTACATACATTGTTAATAGATAGGTAAGACCATTTTGAAAACATTGCCATTTGAACTGTATTCCTTTCTTTTCATGCTGAACACTGTATTGTAAGATAAAACATTTGCACACAATAAATTAATGATAGTGTTTTGTAGAATAGCCATACTCAGTATGTTCGGCTTATATAAAAACCATAAGTCATATCCAAAATGAAGCATAAATTTGTGAAGGAGAAAAACTTTATGAACACTAATTGCTCTTTTCATGCCTAGATGGCAGCTTTGAATCAGCGGAAGGTATTACAGAAGAACAGAATGAAGATGAGCAGACAAGTCCAAGGTTTTATATATATACATATATATATATATATATATAGTTTTCATTTGGGAATAGATATTGGATATAATTACACATTAGGGACCATACGCTAGATATTTTTACGCTGATCATTTTTCGGTTGGTTTTCAATCACTTTAAGAATGATAATGATGGAAGTGTGCTAGATTATTTCTTAAGATAATTAAGTTTTATATCACGATTTGATCTACATTTAATTATGATATGGGGTAGGTCTTTAACTTTTCTAAATGACCAATATTTTAAATGTCTAAGATCATGTGGCCCCTAGTAAACTCATTCTACATGTTAAACATTCTTCCCAAAAGATCATCACTTATAGTTATCCAGTAAACCTTGACAAACTATTTTTTATGAGCTTTCTATTTTATTATTTACAATAAAATATAAAAAAAATGTTTTTATAAATTGCAATCTTAAAAAGTATTTACACTAAATCTAAATTAGTGATGCTTGGGTTGTATTTGTTTTTTTTAACTGATGATATAATCAATGTTTCAAGACATGATGTAGTTTAACATTGTGAACGTGCAATCATCATAACATCTTTATGATGGTCATAAAAACCTTTTAAATTTTAGTATATAATAGTTTTAATGCTTGTGCTCTTCAAATGTTTTTGGCTTGCCTTAATGAAAGTAATATTGATATATAGGGCCTTTCAGAAAGTAAACAACTCTAATGACAGATCTATTTTATGTAGAAAAACAGTGCTAATAAACGTAACTTTTACAATTGAAAAGTTCAAATAATTTTAAAATTAGTGTTCTGATCACTTACATTGTTATTTAATCCTCAATAAATTATGCTTAAGTGTAATTATATAACGAGTTACTTGTACTAGTGAAATAATAATAGATATGTATTTGCTTTTTCTAATTTTTCATGTATAGAAAAAAAGGATCAAAGACTGAATACAAATCCAAATATCAACCATTCTCATCGTACATTTATGTGGATGGCAGTTGGAAGAAAACCCAGAAACTGGGGGTAATAAAAATATTTTATTTAAGGATTATTCATTAATTTTACTTATTATTTGTGATTGATCGGTACACAGTTCTTTCTATTGGTATCCATCACTGCCAAAATTTAACCACTTATTCACAATTCATTTCTGTAGGATGTAGAAGGAAAGCCTCTAGATGAAACAAATCCCTGGTACACTGAAGTTGTGGAGAGAATAAAGAAGGCAGATGAGTACCGCATTCGGTCTCAGGGAAGACCTTTTTATGGAGATCATTCTCCTCTCATTCCAGGAAAATCTATGGAAGATGACAGTCCTCTTCCTACTCATGTCCTTATTGCAACTTCAAGGTGAATATTGAGTCTGCTTCCAGATTTGATATTAACTTAGTCATTATTTTTAAGTACAGAGTAAATCTTTCCTTATTTTTCTTTACATATCTTATTTTTGTTTTAAGTTTTTTGTACATCCTAGTATGCTACAAAAGGTTTCTAAAGAAGCTACCATATACACTACGTTTGCATTTACCACAAAAAAATGCGGCTAATGTAATAAGGGATAATAATAATATATGTCTATAAAATAGATATTATTTCAAAAAGAATAGTGTTTTTCACACTTGAACAGGTCTATTTAGGCCTAACTAAACAAATGTGTTAACCCTAAATGTTTCTTATCTTATTTTACTTCTTATAAAAAAAAAAAGAAAGAAAGAGAAATTACGTGCATGCAGCATTTTGGCTTTGCAGAAAACACTAGATTGTCTACAAACCTGAATTAATTCCAATCATAAATAAGAAGGGTGTAATGCCATACTACTAGTATCACACAAACACAAAGGGTATATGTTCAACTTTTCAGTTAAGTATCAAGTTTAATTGTATTCAGTATGCATTGTTTGAAGATTATATATTACAAATACTGACTTCTTTTCATGTCTTATGATACTAAAGATTTATCCTTTTTAATGGTGTGTGAGAGACATCGTCAGAAGAAATATTTTTAAGTGATTTTCTATTTTGTAGACCCTCTCCTCGTTCAGCAAGCTCGGAGCGGAAAAAAGATAGAACACCTGAATCCAGACGTGAAAGTAAGAAAAATTGCTTCACCTATTTTTGTCATACTTTTAAAAACAATACTAATGAAAGTGTTGGGATCAAATAATTTTATAGCCATGGATGTATGACCATTTTCATTGATCAAGTCTTTAAGTTCAGGTTAAATAATAATAATAATATGTGTTTTCAAATTATTTATTGCCATTTTCATATCCTGACATTAGACATGACAGCTATTTATACTTCTCTATATACAAGTTTAATTTTATTTACCTTTGTTTTTTTGTGAAACTGCTTTGATTTGGGATGACAAAATATTATTTAATGTCAATGATTCATTAACTTTTTTTTAATATACTGTAGGTATTTCATTGGCCATTTTGGGAAGTGTGGTAGTGCAAGTCTTTTAGTTAGAAATATTCTAGTTACAGCATAGGTAAGCTGCTGTTGAAGTGAAACATGTAGCAACAAATAGGTCACAGTCACTTATTAGTACAATAAACAGTGGCTGATGTCTCTTCAATTTGTGTCACATAATGAATATGTGCTAAATAGCTACAGTAAAATGTTTATGCCGTAGTTAAAAATTATTCTAAGTTAATATATGTGTACAATGCAACCATTCAACTCCCTGGTACTAAAGAAAAAGATGTAGCAGGATTTTTATCACCAAATATTTATCACCTATTTTAGTTGGGATAATAAAGGTGTTAATGTTAACTTCTAATCGAAACAGGTTATCTAAATTACTTAATCCTGAGTATAAAACATATGTCAAAGATTTTTAAATCATGATTGATTGACCACTATACAGTTTGACACAAAAGTGTAAACTTAATTTAGATGAGTTTGTAATAATTTGGCAATTTGTAATAAATGTATCTCTTCACCAAAATATTGCATGGCTTTTTGCTACCATATTTCCCAAAACTGATTAGAACATTTAATGATACAATGGCTGTAATATGAAGAATTTCTCAAATATCTACATTAAACAGGTAACTATTATGTAAATGTAAATATTTTTAATGAAGTGTGGTTGGCTGTGGGTAACAAATTACATGACTATTATAAGCAGCCGTTGACTGCAAATTTATCAATTTTGTTTACAGTTTCTCCCCGCAGACAGCCTAAAGCCTTTAGGGAAGGGCGTACTCCCGATGGAACATCAGGAGAAATCTTGTCCCCCAAGAAATCTGCTCGGCCTGGTCAGTTGTCAGGAATTGTATCAGTAATTTAGTAACTCTATTTCCTATCTGTAAAAAATATGTACATACAGACATTCTTATACATAATTTGAAGAAGAAAAAAATGCTTATAAACATAATGTCACGTTCATTTAATGATGTTCATAGTATTATGTAGCGATATTTTTAAAACAAATATTTGTATTCTACTGAATACTATATTATTTTTCCTTACTGAATATTCCACTTGGTAGATTTAATGGGCATGTGGTTTGTTTTTAGACTTGATCTGTTTACATGTTCTGCTATATCTGTGTCAAGTGGAGTTGAAACTTGCCAGTTTTTAGCTTTGAAATGTTTATATGTTGTACTATATCTGTTTCAAGTGAAGTTGACACTTGCTAACTGAAGTACATTTTCTCATTTTTGGACTGAAATCTTAGCTAAAATTTAGTTCATTGTATCCATGAATATCGGACTCTTGTAAGAAGGTCGAATTACAAAAACTAAACAGAATAGGCATCTGAGATAGTAATATCTAATACTTGTGTAATAAGACAACACAGTGAAGATGTTATAAAGATAAATCTTCTATTCACTAAAAAAGGGAAATGATCTGTTTTTTTTATATTAGATATGTTTTATATTGTGTTTGGAATCATCTTTACCTTGCATTGTTGGTTTTAGTATATTTTTTTCTGTGTGTTAAGTAGGAGTTTGATTTGATTTGTAACTTGAGATTTTGTTGATGTTAACTGAGAATTAAATCTGAAAATTCCTTTTATTTGATTTATTATTGAAAGGTATTTTTTCATTCATAGTATCTGTGCCTCGTGGAGAACCATCCGCCAAAGGAACTGATGTCACAACTCCACCAGGTGTAAAGCCCCATCCCGTGCCTCGTCGTCCGCCATCATCGGTGGTGAATGGTGAGGAGCCTAAGGTATGGCTTAAACCAACAACAAAAGAGAAGGGGGAGAAGGAAATGGTAAATGGAGAACAATTAGAAAAAGATGTTGATGAGAAAGATGCAGCAAAGGGTCTGACAGAGTCAGAAGACCAGGGAACCAAGAGAATCTCTCCACAGGATGCAATTCGTCCAAGTTCTTTACAAACTGTCAATGGAGATTTGGAATATAAAAGTAAGATTAGAGCATAACATTTCATACTGATTTGCAAGATATTATAGATATTGTTATTACATATTTTACTTATATGATACTTTTACCTCTGATAGTTCAGTAGGGAGAGATTGTAAAATCATTTTACAATAATTAAGTGTAACTCATGAAACCCCAACTACTTATTTAAAAGTTTAACTTGAACTCACTAATGTTACTTGGAAATTTCTCTTTGGGTTGTTTTTGGTTTGTTTTTGTTTTTTCACCATTACTTACTGTACCAGGAAGTGAAAGCTGTTAGGTGGGTATAATTTTATATAGTGGTATCTGAAGTAGTGCATAGTTGTTTGAAATTAGGAGTACAACCCATTATTGAGGTTCGAAGTTCCAGAAAAGGTAAAACTGTGCAACAAAATTTACAACTGGGATAGTTTTTCCTTCAAAATATTGTTTTCCAGCTCCTGTTGTAAATTTCTTTTGAGACTATTGTAATCTTTTTGGCTAGCTTGAAGCTATTAGAGTACAGCCCCATTTCTTTGATAATATGTGAACTTTCATGATGTTCATTAACTCTTCCAGCACAGGTTCGGTCCCCGGAACCGACCTCGTAACCATTTTGTGTTTGTTATACTTTTCATGTTATAACTTTTAAATTAGTAAGCAAATGTTAATGAAATTTGGCAAATTATCAGTAAACATTACAATGCTTTCATATGCAAAATATCAAATTCCGAAACATGCATACCTCCGCTGACACTAATAGCTATTTCTCGATCTTCATCTTTGCCATCTAACACTGTGTTTGCTTGCTCCAATCTTTATATACCCCACTCGACTGTTTAGACTAAATAACTTAAATCTCATAACATTATACATTTATATATATATTTTTTATTATATTGACCTTTCAACCGTGCCTGGCTAACAATACAGAAGCTACAATGACACGGTACATTTTACCGTATCAAATAACATAAAGCTGACCTTTGGTCTGTACAAACTAATTTGTCTTGGCTGTGTTTTATTAGACTAGTATTTTGTAAAATACAAAAACATTTCAGTTATTCTACATTATATATGTATGTATATTATTGCTATTTTGAAATAAGTTCTTAAACTTATTTTTCTTAAAACAGAACAGTAACTAAAGAAGTAATACAAACAATTATATTTTCTAGTTACGACCTTTATACTCGTACGCTGCATGACGTAGGTTGCTAAGCCTTTAAAAATTTGCACGTGTAGAATATGAAACAAAATATTTTTGTTTAGGTTTTATATATATACATTTGAATAACTAAAAGATCATAAATTACTACCTCAATACCATAAAATTCCACTATAATATATCATGCTTAGTAACTACCTCGTTGAAATATTGGTTCAAAAGAAAGAAATGGTGCCAAGCTCTTTAAAATGGATGAAAAAGCCACTAGGGGGACATTCTGAGCTTCCAGTTGGTTATT